ACATGTCAGCGGATGAAGAGCAGCAAGCAGAAGAAGGCGGGACTACTGCAGCCTCTTCCTGTCCCAGAACAACCATGGCAAGTGGTTAGCCTGGACTTCATCACCGGGTTACCACCTACCTCCAGCGGTCATGACGCCATCCTTGTCGTCATTGACAAGTTCTCCAAAATGGAACACTTCATCCCGACACACACGACAGCACGCACCGAAGAAACAGCACAACTCTTCGTTCGATACATCATCTCACAGCATGGCATTCCAACCACACTCATCTCCGACCGAGACCCTAAGTTCACCAGCAAGTTCTGGAAGGAACTTATGTCTCTCCTCGGGACCAAACTCGCCATGTCATCCGCTTACCATCCGCAGACAGACGGACAGACCATTCTTCCTCTGCTACGGACGCCACCCACTCACACCACAAAAACCGACAGCATCAGCTACAGTCCAACCCGCACATGATTTCATCACAACCATGCATCAGCTTTGGGATCGGACCCACAAGCGCCTCCTCGACATTCAACAGCAACAGAAGCGCCACGCCGATCGCCATCGCAACGATCACACCGTCACGGTAGGAGACCAGGTGCTTCTTGACACCCGCAACCTGGACATCAGCCATCTCCCATCTAAACTTCGACCTCGCTTCTGCGGGCCTTTTCTCGTTGAAGCACAGGTCACTCCTGTTACCTTCCGCTTACACCTGCCAGCTACCTGGAAGATTCACAACGCCTTCCACGTCCAACTTCTGAAGCCCTATCGGGACCCAAAAACGATTTTCGTTGGACGCCAACCGCCGCCGCCACCGCCCGTCCTCGTCCAGAATGAACCCAAGTACGAGGTCGAGTCCGTGCTCGCACACCGCCGTCGTCGGAATGGCACCGTGGAGCTTCTCATCCGTTGGAAGGGTTATGATCCTTCGAAGGACAGCTGGGAACCTGAGTCCGACATGGTTAACGCCCGTCGTCCTCTGCATGAGTACCTTGTCAAGCAGGGTGTTACTTCTACCACCCAGCTTTGAGGGGGGGAAGTATGAGAGTACGACCTCGTTACACCACTTGGCCTTCTCTTATTTCCTTCCTTTTTCCTTTCTCTTTTATTCCATCTCATTTGGTTTCCTATTCTTCCTTTTCCATTCACCTTTGGTTTATCCTGCTATTATAATTATATCACCGACCAGGCTTGGGATGTACTGGTGCGCTCTATCTAGCGTAATCCTGCTGTAATCCCTTAAAGCCAATAGCCTCGCGTGGCTATACGCAGGGTGATTCTATCTTCTAGAAGGGTCTATTCCCCTAGGATAAGATAAACCTGGTTACCTGATGTACTCAGGAAGTATAAAAGCGCCTTGTACTGATCGATAGTGCAACCTTTCCTCGACACATTCGATCCTGTGACACGAAGTCAGCGACAAGAGTGTCAAGACGCGAAACAGGAACAGACGGGTCGGTAACGAGAGAGGCAAGGACCCGAGAAACAAGAGGACGAGCGGCACAAAGGTAGTCAGACACAGGGGGAGGCACAACAACAAGTGAGGACGGAGGAGGCGACGGCAGGAGGGGAGAACGAGACACGTGAGAACGAAGCAACATAGGGTGAGAGCGCCAAACAGGAGAGACGGGACGAGCACGAGGAGGACGGCGAGACCAGACGTGAGACGAGGGCATCGGGTCAGGAGACAGAGGAGGAGACACAAGAGGGGAACGAGGGGGAAGACGAGCCGAAGAGGAGGGAACATAGGGCCGTATACAGGAAGAGGAGGAGACGGTAGGAGAGGCACAGACACGCGGTCAAGGGAGGGAAGGCCAAGCAGGCAAAGGGCGGACACTGGCAGCAACTGCTGCTGCTATGGCTGCACGACGCCGATACCGGGACCGCCAGCTGCTCCACGGCTACCTCCGGAACACCCCACTCCAGCACCCCCATAACCAGGAACCCTCTCGGCGCCGCGACAAGAACCCCAGGACTAGCACCCTCCCCAACGCCAGCACCCCCAGAGGGCACGGACTGCTGCCGCTGCGGCGGCAACGGTGGCTGCTGCTGTGGGGGCTGCGACAATGGCTGCGGCTGGGGCGGCTGCGACGACGGCTGCGGCGGGGACTGCGACGGTGGAAGAGGAGACACTTGGGAGAGGGCAGGCAGCGAGGACCGCGCCGCAGGGCCACTAGAGTTAGCAGACTCCTCAACAGGGACAACCGACTGAAGGGGGGTGGCGTGAGACACACCAGACGGGGCAGGGCGAGGAGGGGGAGGAACAGGGGCGACCGAGAGAGGGGGAACCAGGAACAGGGGGGCAGTAACCAGGGGACCACGGTAGGGAAAGCGGTGGTAGAAGGAGACTGAATCATCAAAGGTGACGTCGCGAGAGTGAAGGAACCGGTGAGACTGTGGGTGGTAGAAGTGCCAGTCAGACGAGTCAAGGGGGAAACCTAGGAAGACACAGGGGACTGTGCGGGCTATTAGCTTGTCCATGCCAGAGGCACGAACGTGAGCAAGGCAGCCCCAAACGTGGAACGCAGACGCATCACCAGGGGACCCGGTCCAGAGGAGGGTCGGCAAAAACTGCCGAACTCGACCGGCTGACCCTCTGCGTCAAAGCGCAGCACCGATTCCGCCATCGGGGTCGATGCAACGGCAGACTGGCGGTAAGCGGGAAGCAGTGACGTGCAGTGCAGTGAGGGCGCGCGCGGCTACAGGCGCGGGCGCGGGACGGGCTGGCTACGGACGAGGCCGGATACGGGCGCGGGCGCGGGACGGGCCGGCTACGGGCGCGGGCGCGGGACGGGTCGGGCTACGGGACGGGGACAGCTACGGGCACGGGCGCGGGATGGGCCGGCTACGGGCACGGGCGCGGGACGGGCCGGCTACGGGCGCGGGCGAGGGACGGGCCGGCTACGGACGCGGGCGCGGGACGGGCCGGGCAACGGGACGGGGCCGGCTACGGGCGTGGGCGCGGGACGGGCCGGCTAAGGGGAACGTGCCTTCGCAGGCGGGCGGTCGGCCGGGCGGCTAGGACCTATGGCGGAAGCGCTCATGGGCGGGTGGGACCTAACCTACTCATAATACCATGTTCGAATCATGGAATGACTAGAATGGGTGAGTACAAGGGAATATAACCTAGTGGATTGTACTCTCTAAGGCACAACCCTATATAGTCTACAACAACATACTCATATATCTTTGACAGTACAGTCAGCATGAAGGGGACACGAAACAGGATCCACGAAACTGGACACGGCCCATAATTATCATCATCGCGCAGCCGCTCGCGCGGCGGCCCTTATTGCCAATTTCGGACTTCTGGTGTTATCCTAGTTGTAGAAGTGAGTTTTGTCCAGAAATTTTGTGTTGGGGCATCTCGTTTTGGGGGGGCACTTCAAGTGGGGTGACTGCTGTCAAAAGATATTTTCCGAGCCTGTTCTCCCATATATTAACACCTTGGAATTGCGTGTTGACTAATAAGATGCATGTTCTCCCATATCCCAGGTTCTCGAAAGCGGGAACTCGGTTCATGGAGCAGCCCTGTCACACTCCAGAGGCCTGGATCAGTGGTCGGACGAGACCCTCGGATCAGATTTCCTGCTCAAGCCCTAATCTTGAGCATGCCGAAGCTGTGCAAACCGATGTTCACACGTGTGATTTGCAAAATTGGCAAACCGTGCGTGGTATAACCTGATCGCAAAAATGGAAACGAAATGACCAGCCGTGATAATCAAAATGACGTCCGAAATTGGCCATAAGGGCTGCCGTGCGAGTGGCTACGCGATGATGATAATTATGGGCCGCGAAAAGGGCATGCAAATAATACAGTGATACGAAAATACTTATGCGTGCAATACAGCGTGGCGCAATAATACTCTCACGAAACCGTAAGAGCCAAGCACGGAATTCGTGAGCGGGCGCCTGTGTGCTACGTGTGTGGGGTTATCTGGCGGGAAACTGTCACAGGATCGAATGTGTCGAGGAAAGGTTGCACTATCGATCAGTACAAGGCGCTTTTATACTTCCAGAGTACATCAGGTAACCAGGTTTATCTTATCCTAAGGGAATAGACCCTTCTAGAAGATAGAATCACCCTGCGTATAGCCACGCGAGGCTATTGGCTTTAAGGGATTACGGCAGGATTACGCTAGATATAGCGCACCAGTACATCCCAAGCCTGGTCGGTAATATAATTATAATAGCAGGATAAACCAAAGGTTAATGGGAAAGGAAGAATAGGAAACCAAATGAGATGCGGTAAAAAGAGAAATGGAAGGAAAAGGAAATAGGGAAAAGGCCAAATGGTGTAACGGGGTCGTACTCTCACACTTCCCCCCCTCAGAGCTGGGTGGTAGAAGTAACACCCTGCTTGACAAGGTAGTCATGCAGAGGACGACGGGCGTTACCCATGTCGGACTCAGGTACCCAGCTGTCCTCAGAAGGATCATAACCCTTCCAACGGATGAGAAGCTCCACGGTGCCATTCCGACGACGGCGGTGTGCGAGCACGGACTCGACCTCGTACTCGGGTTCATTCTGTACGAGGACGGGCGGTGGCGGCGGCGGTTGGCGTCCAACGAAAATTGTGTTCGGGTCCCGATAGGGCTTCAGAAGTTGGACGTGGAAGGCGTTGTGAATCTTCCAGGTAGCTGGCAGGCGTAAGCGGAAGGTAACAGGAGTGACCTGTGCTTCAACGAGAAAAGGCCCGCAGAAGCGAGGTCGAAGTTTAGATGGGAGATGGCTGATGTCCAGGTTGCGGGTGTCGAGGAGCACCTGGTCTCCCACCGTGATGGTGTGGTCGTTGCGATGGCGATCGGCGTGGCGCTTCTGTTGCTGTTGAATGTCAAGGAGGCGCTTATGGGTCCGATCCCAAAGTTGATGCATGGTTGTAATGAAATCATGTGCTGGTTGGACTGTAGCTGATGCTGTCGGTTTTTGTGGTGTGAGTGGGTGGCGTCCGTAGCAGAGGAAGAACGGCGTCTGTCCAGTAGCGGCATTGTTAGAGATAGGCTGCAATTCGGTTGGCACAATTTTGTGTGTTGACACTTTTTTGGTTTTAGGGATACTCATATTTGTTAGGTTGGGTGTAGCTATGTTTTCATCCCCAACCTATCCCAACCCAATCCATCCCAAATCCCCACGATTTGGGAGGATTCCCTTGGGATTCCCTCCGATTCTCCCTTATCCCTTCCCATCCTCTCCGATGCTCGGTACTTAAGGATGTATGCTCTTGCTCATTTCAATCAATCAAGTTCTCAGTTTCTGATATGGTATCAGAGCTCGTTTCCGCCTAAGCGGCTCTTGATCCTCTCGCTCCGTTGGAGCCTAGCATTTGCGTCTTACGACGCAAAGCTTTTCTAGTCGCCTCAACTCAGCGCGGCGCTTCTTTTCGGGCTGAAGCCCGTCGCCCCGCATCTGCTCGTCACACCTGATCGGGCTGAGCCCGTCGCCCCGCATCTGCTCGTCGTACCTGATCGGGCTGAGCCTGTCGCCCCGCATCTGCTCGTCGCACCTGATCGGGCTGAGCCCGTCGCCCCGCATCTGCTCGTCGCACCTGATCGGGCTGAGCCCGTCGCCCCGCATCTGCTCGTCGCACCTGATCGGGCTGAGCCCGTCGCCCTGCATCTGCTCGTCGCACGTGATCGGGCTGAGCCCGTCGCCCCGCATCTGCTCGTCGAAGCTGGACGGGCTGTCGCCCGTCGCCCTTGCAACAGCGGGGGGGTGCAGCGGCGAAGCGGAAAGGGGGCAGCGGCGAAGCGGAAAAGGGGGGGTCGCGGAGCAGCGGGATTGCAGCAGCACATCGCGGGTTTCCATAGATTTTTGGCGTTCAGATTTCCCTCTTTATCGACTATTCCTCTTCTCCGAGTGTTGAAAATCCGCAAAGGGAAACCCTGTTTTTCGCGGAGCCCGCGCTGCGCGCAGCTCGTTTAAGTCGCCGAAGTGCCTATCGGCGACTTAAGAGCTGCGCTACGCGCGGAGAAAGGGTCCTTGGAGCATCATGGCGTATCCTTCCGCGTCTCTCTCAAACCCGATCACTCCCTTGCGCCTCGACCCAAATGGCTCGAGCCCGAACTTCAAGGAGTGGAGCTATGGGGTTGATAAGCATCTCCTAAGCCGCAAAATTGAGGGGATTTGCCTCAAGGATGTCCTCCTCAATTGCGGCAAAGGAAAGATGCCGATCCTTCCCAAGAAGCTCTCGGCCACAGCCACAGGGGAAGAGTTAAAAACCCATGAGGAATCCATGTCCAAGTATGAGGAATCTTACAGCGTGTGGGAGCAAGCCGACGCCGCTATCATTGGCGTCTTCGTCGGCACTACCCCTTCCGAGCTCGTCAAAACTTACCATAACTACCCCTCCGCGCACGCCATCTGGGAGTACCTCAACGACCGCTTCCTCAACAAAACCGCTGTGGGGGTGGCGATCCTCATCCCCCGCATGTTTCAAGTGCGTCTGGAGGAGTGCCCTGGAATGGCAGATTACGTCGCTGAAATTCAAGGGATTCATCAGGAGCTGAAGCAACTCGGCATTGTCTTCCCAGAGCAAGCCCCTGCAGCAGCTCTGCTTGTTGGGCTGACCCCCTCTTACAATGTCACCCGCTCCATGCTTCTCCATCTCCCGCCAGAAGAGCTAACCTTTGCCAAAGTCTCTTCCGCACTTCTCTCTGCTGAAAAAGACAACACTGCGCAGGCTCGTGCAAATGCGCTTCGCGCTCCTGTCCCGGCTCCAGCATCGCGTCCCAATCCGCCACCCACTCGTAACCGCTACCCACCCTGTCCTTACGTCATCAAAATGGGACCCCGTGCGGGTCAGGTGTGCGGCGGCACCAATCACCCGCTCGCCACCTGTTTCAAAAAGAAGGACGACGACTGGTTCGCCAAGAATGGTATCAACTCCAAGCCGCCCAACTGGCTTCGCATGCGCCAGCTCAACCAGGTTGAGGCACAGGATAGTCAGGACTCAGCCGTTCATGCCCCTAGTCCTGATGTTCGTCTCAACCTGTTGTTCCCTGGCCTTCCCATGATCAATGAAACCAGTTCCCAGTACTCGACGTCTCCACAAACACCATCTAAACCGCTTGAATTCGTCCTGGACAGTGGCGCAACCCACACAGTCCTCCGAGACAAAGAGTCTTTCAAACCATACCAAGCACCCATTCCTCTTCTGGGCGCTGACTCCAGCTTCACAACTGTCGCCCATGGTTCCTCCACTCTTCCATGCCCAGCCTTCCCATCTGGCACAGTCACTGGCATATGCGTGCCCACTCTTCGGCACAATTTACTTGCACAACATGAGATTCAACGAGCAGGGGTAACCACTATCTTCCCAGCTCATTCCAATCACTGTGATCTCCTTCAGCCCACCACCAATGCCCTACTTGCACGCTTCACACTGACCGCCAACAACCTCTACACACTCCAAGTACCTCCATCTTCCACAGAAGCACACTCTACCTCCACCACATCATCATGCTCCTGCCGTCAGCTCACCGATCCAACCATTCTTTACCACCATCGTCTTGGGCATCCCAACTTCCGCATGCTCTCCGAGCTTGCGTCTAAGAAGTTGCTTCTTCACCTGCCCGACACACTTCCTCCACCCTCCACTTCTCCCGCTCCTCCATGCTTGGACTGCGCGCAAAGCAAACTACGCCAGTTGCCTCACCCTTCCTCGCCCTCTGCTGCAGCCGCCCCGCTTGACCTCGTCCACATGGACGTCTGGGGCCCAGCTCCAGTCCGCTCTCGTGGCGGGCACTCTTACTTCCTAGTGCTCGTTGACGATCACTCTCGCTATGCCTCCGTCCACCTCCTCTCCTCCAAAGCAGCTGTTCCAGATGTCGTCATCGCATGGCTTCGACAAGCCCAAAATCATTTCCGCACTTCAGTCAAGTGCCTCCATTCCGATGGCGGTGGCGAATTTCGAAACCATTCCCTTCAAGCGTTCTGTGCCTCCCAAGGCATTCGCCAGACCTTCACCCTTCCCCACAGTCCGCAGCAGAATGGCATTGCCGAAAGTCGCAATCGCACTCTCGTGCAAATCGCTCGCTGTCTTCTCACTCACGCTGGTGCACCACCTTCCCTTTGGGGTTACGCCCTCCTTCATGCCACGCTGCTGTACAACCTTCACCCTCACCCTCTTCGGCCTGCCATCACTCCCGCTGAACTGTGGACCGGCACCAAGCCCAGTGCACGTCCTCTCCGCGTATGGGGGTGTACAGCTTATGTCCTCCTCAACCCTCAGGAACGTCGCACCCACGGCGGCAAATTTGCACCCAAAGCTCAACCCTGTGTCTACCTCGGCCACAACCTGGACTCTCCCGATTACCTTTTCCTCAATCTCTCCACCAATCAGCTCATTCGTAGCCGCGATGTCGCCTTTGACGAGAGTCGCCCTTTTTACCTCTCTTCACCACCCCCCACCGCTCCACCTTCGCTTGTGTGGGCTGATTTCGATACTTCACCCACCCCACCTCCTCCCTCTGCCGCTCCTGCGGCCCCCTCACTCTCACCTTCCCCATCTCCTTCCACTCTCTCTCACCCCTCTTCGCCCACTGGCTCAGTTGCCCGTTCACCTCCGCCCGCGCCTGCACTTCCCCCTGCACCCGCTCCTGCAGCTGCCCCTCCACCTCCCTCTCCTTCTGTGGCTCCCCCTGCCCCCGCGCCTCCCTCCCCGCCTTCACCTCCGCTTCCGCCTCCAACCTCCACCTCTCCTCCCGACTCGCCCATCACCTATCGTCGCCGTCGCCACGGACGCTCTTATGTCGATGTCCCACCTGCTCCCCCGCCACCTCCCTCCTCTCCTGTCCCTATTGCTCACCGCACCCGCTCTCATGGTCCCGCTCCGCCTCTCGCCCTCTCTGTTCGCATCTCCCTCAATCCGCCTCCTCCTGCCGGGGGTGCATCCATGCCTGGCCTCTTGGAGGATAGGCATGAGGAGCTGATTGAGATCAATGCTGCCATCCGTCAGCTCTGCCATCTCTTCCCCGACCTTGCCGACGCTCCAACTCTTAACTTCTCGGAAAATCCATCCATCCCGACCCCGAACTCATATGATGAAGCCATCTCTGGACCACACTCCCCCCAGTGGCTCGCAGCCATGATCGCGGAGTGTGAAGCATTCATTCGCAACAACTCTTTCACGGACGTCTCCCCTCCGCGAGGAGTTAACATTGTCCGTGGCAAATGGGTTTTTCGCGTCAAGCAACTGCCTGGCGAACTCCCAGTCTTCAAGGCGCGATACTGTGCAAAAGGCTTCACGCAGAAGAAGGGCCTGGACTTCTTCGACACATTCTCTCCGACAGCCAAACTGCCCACACTTCGGACCCTGCTGGACATCGCTGCTCGATGCAACTTTGACGTTCACTCCATGGACGTCTCTGCTGCATTTCTCCAAGGGGATCTCCCCGAGGACATCTACATGGAACGTCCTCAAGGATTTCCCTTACCCTTTCCACCCGGCACGGTCTGGAAGCTGAATCGACCAGTCTACGGGTTGAAGCAGGCTCCTCGGGAATGGCACAAGAAGCTGAAGGCAACCCTCGAGTCACTCGACTTCCACCCCTCCTCAGCCGATCCGAGTCTCTTCATTCGCAAGAACGACAACCCGTTCTTCATCCTTGTCTACGTTGACGACATGATTCTCGTCTCCAAGGACTCCGATCAGCTGGCAGCTGTTAAGCAAGCTCTTGGGGACGCTCTCGCCATGAAGGACCTCGGTGAACTCAAGAACTACCTTGGGATGGAAATCTCGCGGGATCGCGAAGCTCGAACCATCACTCTCTCTCAAGAGTTCTATGTGAACAACGTCCTCAAGCGTTTTGCCATGGACAACGCCAAGCCAGTGGCCACTCCCCTTCCCTTGCAGCATGATCTGACCACTCCATCAGTTCCATCGCCTGAGCCTTGTGATGAGGCATACCCCGAGCTCGTCGGATCACTCATGTATGCGATGATGTGCACAAGGCCCGACCTCGCCTACCCCATCAGTGTGCTCTCGCGTTACGTTGCTGCCGGTCGATACACCAATCGCCACTGGTCGGCTGCTAAGCGCGTCCTTCGCTACCTCCAAGCCACCAAGGACTACGTCCTCACTCTCGGTGGCACGACCCCTCCTCACCTCGAGGGATACAGCGACTCCTCATGGGCTGATGATCAAGCTGACCGCCGCTCTTCCCAAGGCTATTGCTTCACCCTTGGCAGTGGTGTCATCAGCTGGCGATCTACACGCTCATCATCCGTCTCATTGTCATCTTGCGAAGCTGAGTTATACGCGGGCACCATGGCAGCCCAAGAAGCTCGATGGCTTACCTACCTCATGGCTGAGCTCGGGTATCCTCAGCAGACCCCGACTCTGTGGTGTGATAACGAGAGCACTATCCACCTCACCAAAGATCCTGTCTTCCACCAACGAACCAAGCACATCGAATTGAGACACTTCTTCATGCGCGAGCTCGTCCAGCGAGGGCAGTTGTGCGTCAAGCATATTTCCTCTGACTGCAACCTCGCCGACTTGTTTACGAAGGCTCTTGGACGCCGTGATCACTATCGTCTCCTCCGTACCATGGGACTTGGCGTCCCTACGGCTTCCGACGTTGCAGCCTAGGGGGTGTGTTAGAGATAGGCTGCAATTCGGTTGGCACAATTTTGTGTGTTGACACTTTTTTGGTTTTAGGGATACTCATATTTGTTAGGTTGGGTGTAGCTATGTTTTCATCCCCAACCTATCCCAACCCAATCCATCCCAAATCCCCACGATTTGGGAGGATTCCCTTGGGATTCCCTCCGATTCTCCCTTATCCCTTCCCATCCTCTCCGATGCTCGGTACTTAAGGATGTATGCTCTTGCTCATTTCAATCAATCAAGTTCTCAGTTTCTGATAGGCATGTGTGGCATTGTTGTAAGCAAACTCTAGTACGGGCAGGTGCAAGTCCCATTTGGAGATGTCGTCCTTGCAGGCTGCTCGGAGGAGTTGCGTAACAATTTGGTTGAGGCGCTCGGTCTGTCCGTCTGTCTGCGGATGGTATGCGGATGACATGGCGAGTTTGGTCCCGAGAAGAGACATAAGTTCCGTCCAGAACTTGCTGGTGAACTTGGGGTCTCGGTCGGAAATGAGTGTAGTTGGGATGCCATGCTGTGAGATGATGTGACGAACGAAGAGCTGTGCTGTCTCCTCGGTGCGTGCCGTCGTGTGTGTCGGGATGAAGTGTCCCATTTTGGAGAACTTGTCAATGACGACAAGGATGGCGTCATGACCGCTGGAGGTAGGTGGTAACCCGGTGATGAAGTCCAGGCTAACCACTTGCCATGGTTGTTCTGGGACAGGAAGAGGCTGCAGTAGTCCCGCCTTTTTCTGCTTGCTGCTCTTCATCCGCTGACATGTATCACACGAGGTGACGAATTTCTGGACATCTTCTGCTAAGTGGGGCCAGTAGTAGTGCTTTGCGATACCCGTCAGCGTCTTGTTGCTACCGAAGTGTCCGGCGTAGAGGACGTCGTGGTATTCTTCGAGTAGTAACTGGCGCAAAGGAGGGTAATTGGGTACCCAGATTTTTGTTGATCCTTTCCGGTACGCGATGTCACTGTCCCACTGTAGCAGATGTCGCTTTTCTGCCAAGGGAATTTCGGGGTCGGTGGCGTACCCGTGTGTGAAGAGTCCCTTGAGTAGTGGATTCATCCCTTCGACCTGAATGGCGGCAACGTGTGCAGGCCGGCTGAGAGCGTCTGCTTTGTTCTTGTGGCCGGGCTTGTACACGATGTCGTAGTGGAAGTGTGTCTCGAGGAAGTCGATCCACCGGACCTGCCGCCTGGAAAGGTTGGGTTGTGTCTTCAAGTATTTCAGGCTGCAGTGGTCGGTGTAGACGGTTGTTCTTCGTCCTTCGAGATAGCATCTCCACGCTTTGAAGGCGATGATGATAGCAAGAGCCTCTTTGTCGTGTATCGGGTAGTTGAGTTCTGCCCCGTGCAGTTTCTTGCTGAGGTAGGCGATTGGTTGCAGTCCATTCCCTTGATCTTGCATCAAGACTGCTCCCACTGCTTGGTCACTGGCGTCAGCTTCGATGACGTAGTCGCGTTCGGGATCTGGCAAAATGAGTACCGGTGCGGACGTAAGTGCTTGCTTCAGCTGCTCCACGGCTTCCTGGTGCTTCGGCTCCCATTTGTAGGGCGTGTTCTTCTTCAGCAGATTCGTGAGTGGTGCTGCGATTTTCGCATACTGTGGCACGAACCTGTTGTAGTAATTAGCGAAGCCTAGGAACTGCTGCAACTCCTTCATGTTCTCGGGTGTCTTCCACGTACGTACGGCTTCGATTTTCTTGGGGTCGACGTGAACTCCTTGAGCGCTCACCATATGTCCTAGAAATTGGACCTTTTCGAGGGCGAATTCGCTCTTGGACAGTTTGACGTAGAATCGTTCCCGTCGAAGAATTTCGAAGACGCGTCGCAGGTGTTCGACGTGCTGCTTCATGTCGCGCGAGTAGATGAGTATGTCGTCCAGGTACACCACCACGCATTCGTCCAGAAGTGGTCGTAGAATGTGGTTCATTTCGGTTTGGAACGTTGCTGGTGCGTTGGTGAGTCCGAATGGCATGACCAAATACTCGTACGATCCGTACCGAGTTCGAAAAGCAGTTTTGTGGATAGAGTTGTCCGCCATCCGTATCTGCCGATATCCGGACCGCAGATCCAGTTTGGAAAATACCGTAGCTCCCCGAAGCTGGTCAAGCAGGTCATCGATTCGCCGTATCGGATATTTATTCTTGATGGTCTGCTTGTTAAGGGCTCGGTAGTCGATGCACATGCGCAGGCTTCCGTCCGGTTTCGGTGTGAAGAGTACTGGGGCACCGTACGGCGAAGTGGATGGCCGGATGAGTCCTTTGGCTAGGAGATACTCGATCTGTTTTTTCATGTCAGTCAGCTCCGTAGGGCTGAGCCGATATGGTGCTCGGAAGGTCGGCTTCAAACCCGGTTCCTCCACGATCTCGTGTTGATGCGTTCGGTATGGCGGTAGCTCGTTCGGAAGATCGTCAGGAAGAATGTCTTGGAACTCCTTCAGTAATTCCTTGATTTTTTCTGGAGTTTCCGAGGCTTTCTCGCCGTCATTCTCCACTTCTGTTGCTATCGCCAGGAACCCGGTGTCGGTCCGCTTCACGTCTTTCTCGAATCGTGCGAGTGTCTCCACTGGGATATCTCCAGTATCGTCCCAGTTGGGTAGCTGTACTTTCCGTCCATTGTTGTAGATGCTTGCGGTGCGGTTCACCCAGTTGATCTCGGGGTTGAATTTTTTCAGGAAGTCTCGCCCGAAGATCAAGTCAAGCCCTTTGATGTTGGTGATGGGGAGTGCAGGTCTCCAGCGCAGTGGTCCAATTTGTAGATGTAGCACTGCTTTGCCGTGTACTGGTAACTTGCTGCCGTCCACCATCGTTGCAGAGAATCCTGAAGGCTTGTACTCTTCCCGAAGTCGGTCGATCATTGCCTTGTCGCAGACGGTGTGTGACGCTCCGCTGTCCACGAGTGCTTGGAGGCGTCG